CGCTGTCCCCGCGCCCAGACCAGCTGCTGCTGCGGCCGCTCTGGATTCCGTCCCCTCCCTGGGACCGGGCTTGGCACGGAGGAGGCGCGGTCGGGAGGGGCGGCCGTGCAGGGATGAGTTTCCTCTGGTTTTTACCCTCTCCCCCGAGACCTGGAGTCCAGGGCTTCCCGGGTCGCAGAGTAATACCGTAAGGAACAGCTGTCATGAAGCACCGTGGTTGTTAAGTGCGGGACTGCCCCATGGCCGATCGCGGGATCGCGGTTCGAGTCCCAGACCTGGCAGTTTGCTTTCTCCTTTTCCCTTTCTGTCTCTCCCTGGTCAAATTAAAAAAGAAAAAAAGATCATCATAACAAATGGAAATAAATATTTTTAAAAAAGAAAACAGCTGTAATTTATTAAACAGCTACTAAATGCCAGCACTTAGTGGAGACTCCCTGCCACAAACTCTTCCATTTTACAGATGAGGAAACTGAGACTCAGAGAGGTACTCTCAATACTCCAGGTAGGGTATCGGGAGCTTTAATTAATTAATTAATTTTTATTTATTTATTTATTTAGGAGAGGTTTTTGCTATAGGGCGCATGTGCTCGCCAGACAGACAGAGAGAGACAGAGAGACAGAAAGCGAGAAATCACCCCCCAGAGGGGATGGCCACGCCGCAATCCCTTCTCCTCCATTCTCCTCTCGGGATCTTGGGCACGCATGCACACGCGCCCGGCGTGAGTTTAAGCCACCGGGTCCAAGACTTGAACCGCGGTCGACTACGTGGGAGTCCAGCGACATAGCCGTTGCGCTAACTGCTGGTCCCCCTTATTTATTTTGAACAGTAGGTAGATTCTTCTTTTTAAAATTATTTATTTAACTTTATTTATTTATTCATTCATTTTTTAATTTGACTAGAGAGATACACACACACAGAGAGAGAGAGAGAAGGTGAGAGAGCAAGCCACCAGGTGCAGGACTCGAACCATGTCAGCCATGTGGGAGCACCCAGCACCTTAACCACCACGCCACCTGCTGGTCCCGGGGAGCTTTAATTTAATTGATTTATTTTGCTGTAGGGTGCTTGGGCTCTCCAGAGGGGGTAGGGAGTGAGAAATCACTCACCAGGGTTTGGGGGGGAGGTGGCCACACTGCAATCCCTTCTCCATTCTTCTCTCAAGATTTTGTGCATGGATGCACATACGCCCAGTGTGTTTCCCAAGCTGCTGGATACTGGATTCCATACGGCCAACTCCTCAGTTCGAATCCAGTATCTTAACCATCACACCACCTGCTTACCCCATCAGAAACATTTTTTTAAAGAATTGTTTTATTTAACTTTATTATGATCATTATTTAATTTGAAAGTCAGAGAGAGAGAGGGAAAGTGAGAAAGCAAACCACCAGGTCTGGGACTCAAACCGTGGTCAGCCATGTGGGAGTCCCACGCCCTTAACCAAGACACCATGTGCCGGCTCCCCATCAGAAGCTTTTAAATGTGAATTGGATGGCCAAGTTGTGTCACCTCTGTCACTGTGAGTTCCACACTCCTAGGGTCATTTCTTGCTTTTTATTTTTTAAGCATTATTTAATTTTATTTATTATTACTACTATCATTATAATTTGACCAGAAAGAGAGAGGGAAAGTGAGAAAGCCAGCCACCACGTTTGGGACTCGAACCACGGTCGGCCATGTGGGAGTCCAACGCTTTAACCACCACACCCCCTGCCGGCCCCATCTAGGGCTAGTTCTTATCCCTGATCCCTCTGGAGCGATTCTGTAGTGGACAGAGCCTGGAAAGAAAGAACCGTAGT